ACCTCGCCAAAATATTGCGATGCCCAGATGCTGGTGAGTCCAAGTCTGCTCGTGTCATGCTGCGTGCACTAAACACTCAACTGGATCTAGAGAGCCCAGTGGGACAACAAGTCCTGCAGACTGTCATTCCCACTGTGGTGTTTCTATCCGACCAGTCCCCTATACGACTGGGCGACCTATTCACAGTAGATACACTCACCGCACTGGGTGTCTCAGCTGACAGCCTATGCGGCGACCTCAATATCTCTGACAGGTTCTTCAGTGCTCTTCCTTCAGAGTAAGTGACTAACAGACCCGGCAATTGGTTAATGGCACTGACTATCTCCCACACAGCTCTTTTACTGCCGTCCCACGCAACCCAGAAGCTTGGGCTCATTTTAGTTGTAGCCAGAGAGAAGAACCCCTTTCCCCTCTCACACCGCTGTCACAATTGTCACCACTACTCGAAATCGATCACTTCACGCCACAACTTCCTGTTTGCCTGAACGCTCAGTGTCCGCTTCCACTATTCGCAACGACACTGGATTCGCTACAACTGCAACAATTATCGCATCAAAGTACGATGCAGACCTAATGCACAACCGACAGTTCAAACCTCCTAGGCATAGAGAGAAGAACACACAATGGACTGAGCTTCAAGGGTCCGTGGCAATGGAAGCCATGGAACCTTCAAGCCTAGATGAGCTGCGATCACTGGTAAGTTGCAGTCCATGTACTCGTAATCACAGCTAACACAATCACCAATTGATAGCTACAGACACAGTATGTGGACGGCATGCGCCCAACCAGCAAGGGATACGTCAGGCTCAAACGAGATCTATTTGAGTAAGACAGAACAATGCGAACTGTTCTTTGACTCTGAAGATCTGATGTCCGTATCGACAGGGACGTACTCGCTATACAGTCTGTACAGTCAGGTGTTATTGCAAATATCTGCAAATCAATGCCACAGAGCCTGCGAGACGGTCTGACGGATCGTCTCGCAGCGTGCCTTGAGCCTGATGCCCTGAGGCAATAGACACATCTCAGGTTGGCGGTGACCATGTCTTCCAGGTCATGCATTTCTCTTGGTACAATCGCCATTGTACCACTGTACGTTCATGTTCTCAACTGATTGAGTGTTGCTCCCTACTAACGATCATGCACCTTTGTAGGGAAAAGACGCTCCAGTGAACGTGCCGCCTATGACCATGAAGAGGACTGGCGGTCTCAAGACTAACTATCATCAGTTCATTCCATACCCGTCCAAGGACATGACCAGTCTACAAATGCATCAATTTACCAGTCCGTGAAGAATATCTTAGGACCTGTGTTTGACTGGCTTGACGCGAAGGTAAAGCAATCTCATTATTTGTACTACCAATGCAATATTGAAACGCAAAGGCATCCTCAGCTTAAAGATATGCTGCCAGGAGTATATGAACGACTTGATGCATATGCTCGCATACTGCCTGGAAACAACACTGCAGTGTCCGCACCATTCCTCAGCCTGGTCATCAATCTTAACGTTGTGACGGCGGCCCACCGAGATAGCAAGGACGACAGTTTTTGCCTCGTCCTCGCAATCGGTGATTTTGAAGGGGGTGAGCTTGTTTTGTATGAACCGGGTTTGGTCATCCCTCTCTGCAACGGCGACTTCGTCATATTTCCTTCGTGCACCTTAACGCATTTCAATCTACACTACAAGGGTCGCCGAGCATCCATTGTTTTGCACACGGACAAGGAAATGATGAAGTGGCTAGAGCAGCGCAATGGATGGTCGAGTAACAATAATCTCATTTGATGTACCTACCCCTATGTACGCGTAGCCTACATATCTGGCTCCCTTGTGTTAAGCACTTACGGTGACACTGCGCCGCCCGCTCTGGTATGATGTAATCTCATTGCAGCGACGGCGGTCGTCGTCGTCTTCCTGTCCCTCTCTCTCATGCTCTTACCACCACCATCACCTAGTGTTCGATCACCCACTGCTCGTCTACTGCATGCCTGCCACCGCGGCTTTGCACTTGCCTGCTCTGAATCAGGGAATACCCTTCTGAAGCTCTACGATCTGCATACAAGATGCATCCATGCTGTTCATCAAATCTCACTGGCACCTCGCAGTGCGTGTTGGCTCGTCCGAGCTCGGGCCTGAGCTGCTCTCAACCGACCATGCAATGGACGTGGATGCGAGCCTGACTGAAAGCACAGACACAGAGACCCCGCCTCGAGGCTAACTGACATGGCTGCAGTGTCGTGTCCGGGAGGCAGCATACACGTAGTCTCTGCATAACCTACCCCATTGGTCGCCTGCCTTGGCGTGTGGCATTCGCAACGACCACGACATCACACTACCGCCTGCGGTGATCACTCCCCGCCGATCTGAATGTGCAGGTTGAGCAGCAGTTCACGTTCCGCGCGGTGTTCGTCGGGTGCGTGTTGAGGCTGGGCGTGGTCATCTCGGAGAGCAAGTATGTGGGGGCTTCCTGGTTGATGAGCGTGGACTGACCTATTGCCATGTCTCCAGTGTGTATCTGGGCCTCAAGACGGGCTGGACGTTCAGCGCGTCCATGTTCGGGTCTGTCTGACCTGACATAACCGAGTTCGCAACCTTCATGCGACACCTGAAGTCATCAAAGCTCTTGCCACGCCCTCAGCCTCTCTTCGCAAGATGGTGGTGTCGCCGCATCGCAAGGCGAACAAGGTGGGTGGGCCAGTACGAGCTTGATTGTGAACTGACTCAGCAGGAGCCGGACACCTCAAAGCCCAAGGAACGCACGCCGGTGCGCAGGGTGCGAGCGACAGGCAAGTGACAGGCAGACACGATATGCGGGCGGTGGGCACAGTGCGCAGGGCATGAGCGGGCGCGGTGCGCAGGGCGTGAGCAACATGCGGATGGACACTTGACAAATGTATTATTACTCTGGCAGCTAGTGCAATACAGTCGCATCTAACATTATGCCCGAATCTGCTCCCAGGTGCATACGGGTCAGCAGGTACAATTTTCACTGGGCCTTACCACTGCTTCACTACGCTCAGGATGTTCTGTAAAATAATATGAGCGCTTTACCAGCGAATAGCACTCGGCCTCTGTGAACTTCTCCGTGCATTGATCATTGAACTTCACACTGTCTCGGCACAGGCTATCAGAGGTGCGTATTTTCTTTCCTCTTACCACAATCTATACTCTCACTCTCTTCGCCTTTTTCGAGTCCAGTCATGACCAAGTGCGTCACTTGGTCGATCACAACCAAACAAGGCTCCGGCACGCGATCAACCAGGTCAACGAAGGCTTCTGCAGCCACAGGCAGCTTGAAGAAAAGCACCAAGCCTGCGAAGGGTAAGTTGAACGAAGGAGCCACTAAGAAGAAGGCGCAGGAGAAGGAGAAGGAGAAGGAGAAGGAGAAGGAGAAGGAGAAGGAGAAGGAGAAGGAGAAGGAGAAGGAGAAGGAGAAACTAACAGCGAGTGAGTGCTGGCAGTTGTGCGACAATATTTATCTGGGATGGTTGATGCTGTGTGGTAGACATACGCAAGAGAGCTTCTAAGTTGATGGCGGAAGAGGAGTGCTCGGCGGACAAAGAACCAAAACCCAAGAAGAAGAAGAAGCAGCAAGTCGTTCAAGATGACAAGCAGGACATGGGCGTGCATGATAAGACAGCTGAAGACAACCCAGAGGACGTTGAGATGGAGGATGTTGCTGCTGAGCAGTGTAAGGCCTCTCGGCGTACATGGTTGGTCCGTTATCCCTCATAGACACTGCTGAATCAGTCGTCGTGATTGTACGAAGCCAAACCGAAGCCAGCGTACGGCAAATTTGCCAAGACCGGGACCGCATTGGAGCCCGCCGAGCAGGACCTCGCACAAATGTTGAGTAAGTGCTATCACACATATACCAATTACGGCTAGGCTTCAAAATTTATATAGGTGGAGGAAGACGTCAAATTAAGCAGAATGTTGTGAGTGGTAGCAAGGGAGGGGAGCTGAAGAAGAAGATGACACAGCTCAAGTCTACCACTGGCGCGTCTGCCAGCGCCAGCGGCAACTCTAGACAGGGAGCTGGCAAACTGAAAGCTACGCCGGCAAGTGCCAAAGTAAGTCTAATCATCGCAGAATCCGATTGCAATCGCTCACTTCTGTTGAGAACCAACAGGACAAGGGCAAGGCTAGAGCAAGTCGCAAGGATGACACGCCAGTCGAGGAAGAGGTCGAGGAAGAGGCCGAGGAAGCGGTCGAGGAAGAGGTCGAGGAAGAGGCCATCAAAGAGGCCAAGGGAGAGGACAGTGACTCCGAGGATGAGGAAGACGATGGGGCTGAGGGTGGGGGTGCACACAGTGGGTCTGAAGATGCGGAGGATGAAGATGCGGAGGATGAAGATGTGGATGCGGAAGTCGAGAACTCAGATGAGGGTGATGTAATAGTGAGTGCCGCCATACAATTGACTAAACATCATCAACATGCCATTCACAACGTACAGGTCTTGTCTGATACCAAGACCCGACGCAAGTGTGCTCCCGCCAAAGTGACTGGTGGTGAACGCGAGAGCAGCAGTCGTGTCAAGGTCGCGGACTTTCCCCCGATGTCAAGTCTCTGGTGTCGACAGCACAGAACAGTCTGCGGCTGTACGTCGCCCTCAAATCCGCCTGGACGAAAGAGAATTCTGTCACGTCCAAGTGGCTCCATCGCCGCGACAAAGTGATCGAAGCGTGCCTCCACGAGGCATATTTGGGACGCGGCAAGAATCGCAAAACAAACGCTACCTTGAAGAAGGTGTTTCAGTCGCTGCAGGTCCGAGAGATAACAGCTACAGAAGAGAAGGAGGTTCAGGAGCAGAGGGAGGCTAACGAAGAGAGGGAAGAGATGCAGGGGAAGGTATACACGGTGGTGAGTATTGTTGACTTAATTCCTTGAGAAGGTAGGACACTTCATTTCATTACAGGTCTGGACGTGCTCCTCGCAAACGAGGAACGAGCTCAAAAAGAAGGCCAAGCAAGTGATCAAGCAGGTCTTCAAGCTCGGCAGCCTCACCGTAGCCCAACGATCGGAGGCCGCTGTCTGGCTTCTGGAGATGCATCCCACAGTGGTAAGCGACAGCACTCGCACTCGTAACATTGTAAACTTTGTTTTCGGAGGCATCAAATTACACTTCAACCGCAAGAAGAAGAATCTCAATCGAGAGGTATGTGCTTAGCACAGGTGTACGGAATTTAGAACACCACTTTGAACTCACGTTGGTCTCATGTCGGTCCTAGCACACCAAGGTCGAGCAGATGGAGCTGTTCCGCAACGAATGCATCCCCGAACTCATCTACCAGTACTATGGCTTGGCCGGACGCGCAGACGCTAGTATCAATGCAGCGCTGGAGGATTTCAGCCAGGTCCCGCTAAATCTCATCGCTGTCTGTTGCAATGCAGTAAGCATTGGTTTCTTTACACTGAACGTATTTACTCACTACTCTCGTAAACGTATTACCTAGATCGAAGCAGTGTTGATGGAGGTGATGTCGCATCAGCCCATTGCATTCTCCAACAAGCACTTCGCCGCAAAGTGAGTTTAATCGGTTTCAACTAACAGAAAGTGAATATTAATGATTGTAGGTGGGATGGCATTATGGCCATCCTAGAGACTCTGGAAGCCAAAGCTTCGGAGTACCTTGAGGAGACACAAGAGGTAATTTGGGAGCACGTCAGGTATTTTACAGATATTGGCACACTTTCTGATTACTGATTGCATACAGCACTCGGCTCAACGCTGGCCCCAATGTGTTTGAGGCGTCTGTGGACGACAATGAGCAGTCGGGTGGGTTCATCCCCCTGCTCCAGTTGCGCGTGTCCAAGCCTCGAAGCAGCAAGTCGAGCACAGCGAAGAAGGCGAGCAAATCAATGCCGCGAAAGACCGCAGGCAAGCCATCCAGCTCTTCAAAGGCAATACGTACCCCTCCTAGCCCATCCAAGAGTGCAAAACAGCCGCCCAGCACGTCGAGGAAGCCAACGTCAACGACCAACAATGCCAGTGACGACGGAGTAGCGGGTGCCACTGATGGCGAAGGCGATGGCGATGGCGACGGCAATGGCAATGAAGCTGAGATAGACGAGCTGCAGGAGCCTGGGGAAGGTGAGTGCAACTTAGCATCAATAAAAATCTCTCGGCATTGACATTGTGCAGAACCTGCTGTCGCTGCCAGTCCCTCGAACAATGGAGATGCCTGAGTACGACATTCATCAATGCAGAAGGGCCTAGCTAACGATTTGCTACTACGAGTCACTGCTAACGCCTCCGCTAATGCCTCCTTCGCCCTCGCCCTCACTCCTTGCTCTCCTTTTTGCTCTTGCCATTCGCTTTTTTCGCTCTAGCCATTCCCCATCCCATGCCATCGACGTCTCCATCACTCCTGTCCCTCACTCGTACGTATATAGCTGTGGCTACATCAAGCGCCAGTCACTGTAGCTGATCGTCTGTTCGTGATCGTTGCATGTACCAGTACCATTTGTTATGCTGTATATGTACTGAACGCAGTTTGAACGCCTACAAATACCATGCAAGCTTCAGTGGGACGAAGTAAGCTGAAGCTGCAATAAATAAGCAAGCTACCTACTGTAGTGCCAAAGCATACTGACACATCATTGACACTTCATGTTACTTAAGTGCAACTAAGCATGCATTTGTTGCACAAGTGTGGATACCTCTGTACAATGCTTTTTATTACATCATGCTCCATATATCGGTTTATGAGTACTTTTTTCGCCTGTTTATAAAATAGACTTGTGTATTTTGAGCTTCATTGGCTTAAGCAATCTTAATGTCTTAAAGCTGCAGAATATGTCAGAAAAAGACAAATATGTTTTTCCTGATGTACAGGTAAGTATTGGAGTTTATGTATGATCACTCCGTGCTCACTACAAGGATCTTATACAAACTTATGCCTATATGGCCTGATGTGACCACTAAGATGCAGGAAGCCTTCTTCATCGATGGACCAGCGTGCATTGTCGCCCTGAGAAGCCAGAGCGAGTCCGGCAGCGAGCTCGGAGTTAGGGGAGGAAATGGACTGGGCAGTCCGGATGTCGGAACGGAGTAAATGTTCGTCGTGTATGAGGGATGCGCAGAGGACTGGATCTCGGAGAATGGTTGCCCGGAGGGAGGATGCGAGTTGTTCCTGCGTGAAGACAGGTCGGAAGTTGTGTGGGTTGACAACGGAGTAGTCACTATCCCCCTCTTTTGGGTAGACATCCCAACGGCGAGTGAGTGCGTCAGGTTCGCTTCCAAGTTTTCCGGGGCGGAATCGGATTATCATGTTGAACTGCGAAAGGAACTCCAACCAACGCGCTTGACGGCGCGTCAGGAGTTTTGTGGTAGCAAAATACTCAAGGTTCTTGTGGTCTGTGACAATGTCGACCGGAGATTCGGAACCTTCAAGATAGTGCCGCCACGTTTTGAAAGCTTCGAAGATAGCCAACAGTTCCTTATTGTGGGTGTCATAGTTCAGTTCCGTGCCAGTCAAAGTCCGAGAGTGAAAAGTGATCGGGTGGATTTCACCGGAGTCCGCCGTAATGGACAGTATTCCAGTGATCGCATAGTCCGACGCATTGGTCTCAATGGTGATCTGCTTGTTGGGAATCCAGTGGTGCAGGATCGGAGTGGTGGTGAAGGCCTGCTTCAGCTCGTCGAACGCCTTGCAGCAGTCCTTGGAGAAGTTCCAGGCAATGGATTTCCGGGTGAGTTGGGTAAGTGGTAGGACAATTTCGGAGTAGTTGTGGATGAACCGGCGGTAGAAATTAGCGAAGCCGAGGAATGATTGAATGTCTCGGACTTTGCGCGGTTCCGGCCAATCCAGTATCGCCTTGACCTTGGACTCAGCCATGGTTAAGCCGTCAGCGGAGAGGATGTACCCGAGGTACTCGACGGAGTTGGCGTGGAATTCGCACTTGTCCGCACGAGCGTAGAGGTGATGCTTTCGGAGGCGTCGGAGTACTTCCTTGACGTGTCTCCGGTGGTCCTCGGGGTTATCGGAATAGATGAGAATGTCGTCGAGATAGACCACGATGTGGACGTCGAGTAGGTCGGAAAAGATCTCGTTGACGAAACGCTGAAACGCCGCCGGGGCGTTGGAAAGTCCGAAAGGCATGACTTGCCATTCAAAAGATCCGTATCGAGTTCGGAACGCGGTCTTCCACTCATCTCCCGGAGCAATCCGGACAAGGTTGTAGGCGTGTCGGAGGTCAATCTTGGTATAGATTCTGGCCTTCCGAGGACTGTCCAGGAGGTCGGAGATGAGGGGAAGGGGGTAGTGGTCCTTCCGAGTGATCTTATTCAAACCTTGGTAGTCGACACAGAGACGAAGCGAACCGTCTTTCTTCTTGACGAAGAGTACTGGAGCTCCGCATGGAGAATTGGAAGGTCGGATGAAGCCGGAGCGAAGATTCTCGTCGATGTATTCTCGGAGAGTGTCGAGCTCTAGCTTGGACAAGGAATAGAAAGGTCCGAGGGGTGGAACAGCGCTGTCCTCAACGGTGATTTTGAGGTCGTACGGGCGGTATTCCGGTAAGATGTCTGCCTTGGTCTTGCTGAAGACATCCGCGAACTCGTGGTACTCCTCCGGTATTCCGGTGAGGTCCGGAGGCAAGTCAGAGATGGACGAGCTGCGAGCAGAGGTTGAATCGACGGCCAGATTGAGCGAGTAGCTTGTGGATCCGGCAAGCTTGCAGGCCCTAGAGAACGCCACAACGTTCACAAGAGATACCTGCGGAGCAATACGCGGAGCAGACGGAGGATCCAGAAAAGGATCCGGAGGGGTCGGAGTTGGTACCGGGTCAGATACGGGACGAGCCGGAGGTGCGGTTCAGAATTGGATGCTGCACTTCTTCCAATCAATCAATGGATTGTAGGCGGAGAGCCAGCTGTATCCCAGGACAGCGGAAACCGACTTATCAAGCAGAGTGACATAGAAGTCGACGTAGAGAATTTCCCCGGAGGGAAAGTGGAGCTGAATCGAGGTGGTCCGAGTGATAGTCTCGTTGGATGTGCCGTTGAAAAGCTGCAGATGGAGCGGAGTAACAGGCGAGGTAACAAGATGGTATTTCTCCGCAAAGTCCGAATCTACAAAGCAATGCGAAGATCCGGAATCGACAAGAGCACGGAAAGGTGATGGTACAGAGTCGGAGAACAATTCAATCGTGAGGGACGTGGGGTCGGAAAGAGCGGATGCGTTGAGTCGAAGAACCTGTTCCGCGCGGGTATCGTCAATGCAGTCCCCACCGTGCGCGGACGTCGGAGGACTGCGGACTAATTTTTTGACTCCTTCGGAGCCTCTGGAGTCGTCGCCGGAGCTGCATCGGCAGCACAGCCTTTAGCAGCGGATGACGTCTTCTTCGGGCAGGTGTTGGCGGTATGTCCGGCACCGCCGCAGAAGAGGCAAAGGTTGTTGTTGAAATGTCGCTGACGCTCCTCCTGCGTCAATTTGCCGTCCTTGCCCAGCTTGTCGGAGTACGGCTTAGCGGGGGCTTTAGACTGCGCCTTTGGAGTAGACGAAGTCGACGACTTGGACGGAGTAGAGGAGGTCGCATTCTGCGAGCCGGAGGAACCGGACTTTGCAGGTTGCGACACCTTGGGGTCGGACTTGGAGTTGGATGACTTCTGGCCAAACTTGTGAGAGCCCGGGGATTCCCGTGACTGTTCAGCCTTGCACTCCCAGTAACGATGGTCGAGCGCTTGGGCCAGATTTCGGAGCTCCTCCAGAGTGGAGGGTTTTCTGACTTTGGAGATGTGGTCCTTGAGACGCGCCGGAAGTCCCTTGTAGAACTGATAGCAGAGGGCGGACGTGCCCCAGCGAACCTGTGTCGCGAGACGGCTGAAATTGGTGATGTACTTTGCGATCTGGTGGTTGTCAGACATGGAGAGATTTACGAGGTCGTGTTCTGCTTGTCCGGTAGCGTCATACAGACTGAAGTTGATTCGGAGTTCTTGTTGGAACTCCTCATAATCCATCAGGAACAAGGGCGGAGAGGATGAGGCTTGTTCCAGAAGGTACGGCTCGAACCATTGGAGAGCAGTGCCCTTTGAGTAGGAGACAGCGTACGTAACCTTCTTCTCATTGGATTTGAAGGTCTGAGGACGAGCTTTGAAGACCAGCTCTGACTGGGTGAAGAACGACCGGAGTTTGGTCGAGTCCGAACTGTCAAACTGGTCCAGATCCCGGACGTTATTCTGCTCGCGCGAAGAGGGTTGCGTCGGAGGGGAAGCTTGTCGCTGGAGCTGGTAGCCCACCAGATGCTGGCAGGCCCATGTATGAAACACGGTGACTACCATAAATGCTTCATACATGAATCACGGTGACTTACCATGTCCCTTCATATATGAAAGCACAGTAATCACCGCGCCCGGCGCTCTGCTCGCTACCCGAAAGGGCAGTTGCCTTTTAGAGACAGCCCAGGTCGCCCGGCGCCGGGAGAGCTCGCAGCGGTGATGGCTACCAGTGGCTACCCTAATATAGTAGGTCCTATCACACTCTTCCACTTTGGGTGCCGTCGCGGGCCCATCGGGCGAACACGATCATGATTTGTGATCAGTGAGATCTGACATTTTCTAGGGCGGCGCATGGTGCCGCATATAGCGGTTGGTTCAGTTTGGTGCCTGACTAATTTGGGCATCCAGATTCGGACGTGGACAGCACGTATGTTGGGCTTCATGACATATATTTTCGGACTAGGCACAGCACCATATATACCTGTTTCTCGTAGAGCACAGTGCCTGGACAGTTTGGATAACGAGGTCCGAAAAGGGACAGCCCGTGTCACGGTCCATGACATATGCATCACACATATCGCACCTCATGACATATATTAACAAACACTACAGTCGTAGACACAAAAAAAGTCGACATTATTCAATATAGTACATACCGACTACGCTGGAATGGGCGGGCAAGGTCACCGAGTGTTATTGTACAACATTGACTGCACCATCCTCCTCCTGCCCATCGCCTCCCTGCTCGTCGCCGTCCCACCCATCGCCCATAGGTCCTTGTCATTCATCCTCCGACACGTCGTCCTCCCACCCGCCACCTGCAGCCTCCCGCATGTCGCCCGCTCATAGCACGAACTTCGGGCCTGTAGCTGAGGCGGCCGCGGCAACCCTTGTTGACAGCCGGCCAACAGTTCGTTCACACTGGTTAGTGTGTGGTTAGCACACGTCGATGTGCCCCCATTCATAC